ATATATTACACACACACGTATGTGTGTGTGTGTGGTGTGTGTGTGTATATATGTGTATGCGCTTATAGAGTCAGACTTGTGTGGCCTAAATGCACTTTGGTGTGGGTTCATCCACTGGAAACTGATCAACCTACTAAGAGTCTCACCCTTAAAGGAGACTGAACTTCCCTTTTCCAGCAGCCATTGGTTGCCAGTTGTTCCTCAGTCAGGATTGGGGTTTCTCACCCACTTCTCCATGTCTATACTAGGATTTTGTCCTGACTTGAGGCTATGGGGGCATGTCCATGCTGTCACTATTACTGTGAATTCATATGAGTAACTGGCCAGCTGTATGGAAAATTCTGTTCCTACCACCTCTGGCTCTTAAAATCTTTCTATCCCCTCTTCTGCAATGATCCCCGAGCTTTACAAGGCAGAATTTTGATGTAGATTCAGGGATAAGCACTCTGCAGCCTCTTATTCTCTGCATGTTGTCCAGTTGTAGTTCTCTGTGTTAATCACCATCTACTGTATAAGGGTGCTTCTTTGTGGAGTGCTGAGAGATGCATTAATCAATGCAGGCCTGGAAAACCTCTATCTAAGAACTTTTATCCTGATTACTTTTGTTTTTCTTTAACACATCACCTCATCAAGTATAAAACATAAAGCAATAGATTTCATTAACTATATATTATCTTTTAGGATGTAGTATGCTTTCTGGCTTTGTAATCCTTAGAAAATCCATATCTAAAAATAATAGCCTTAATCACAATAATAATAAGCTTATTCTGATGCCAAGATCTACTGTTGTATATGTACAAATGTGCATGTGTCTATGTATATAGAAACAATGATAAAATTTGCACGTTCTAGATACAAGGTCCTTAGTTTGTGGATATTAATAATCATGTTTCCAAGTAAGAAATATATACACATGAACACACACATGCACACACACACACACGAATGTGTACACACACATATAATCTATTATTAAAACATTGTAGTGGTACCAAGGATCATTCAACTGTAACATAAAATACAAAAACACTTGTTAATGAGGGAAGCTGAAAAAATAAGCCTAGGGGAAACAGATATTTTGAAGAGCTGAGATCTAGAATATTAAGGGAAGAGCAATTTAATTATGTCTTCTAGAAGCCAGGAGACTATGGAATGAAGGGATTTGTGTGATATCACTGAGGAGAGTGGTTTGTACATTTGTGAGCAATGGAGGCATTATACCTTTATCTTACAGAATTCTGTGTAACATAGCACATACTGAAGGCACATGTAGTTCCTTTCTTGTCCTTTGCTCATTATGTGACCTTATATGGCAACCTTGCATACATCACTTAAAAGCATAGTTTGTGGAGTCAGACTCTGGGAACATGGAGAATTTATACTCTAGGTTTCAAGTTCCTCATTTGTAAAAACTGAGCTGATAATGATGATAGCTACCTTGTACATACTTGTAATAGAGATTATAAGTCCTTAGAACAGTGCAAAAACTCAAATTTTACCCAGTGTTCTTTTTGCTGATCATGATTTTGCTTTTCATTTGCTCTTTCAGTTTTTATCTTTAGACCCTCAGCACATTTTTGTCAATGCATTGAAGTGGCCTAGCACTATATATAATCAACAAATCCCTCATTTTTTCTTCCATATTATGACTAAAGTGACCTTTCTAATCATTCCCTTTGTCCAGAATGATAAATTCCCTTGGGTCTTTTCATTAGTCTCTTAAACGGAATCAAGTTTTTCTTCTATGAAAACTCACTTCCTTGGGTGCCCTGATGATTCTCGTGCTTGTCAGCAGATTGTGCTGCTAGCTTTTGTCATATGACTTGTTTTGATTGATCATTTTTAAAGATTTTAGCTATGATTTGATTCAACTTACTGTTATTGCTGGTATATTAATTTTAGTATTTAATTTAATTTTATTTTCCTTACATCTTTTGGGCATAGACTGACAGACACATAGGTCATCTAAAATAAAGGCATGTGTCATAGGATGACTACAAATATTGGCAGTAAGTGAATGAAAATATGAAGCAAAATAGCATGGACAAGAATAAGTAGGAAATGTACATACAGAGGAAAGCTTCTGCTCCAGTGGGCCTAAGTGAGCACTCAGATGTGGCCGAGATGCTGTTGGAGGAATCTGTCTTTGATGATAGTACGGTAAAGAATGATACTGTACTTTATGAAGTATCACATTAACCTCATGTATCTTAGGAAGATGAGTTTGGAAATTGGGTCATATTGCAGTGTCTCTTTTGATAACAGTTTGCACTTTACATTTTTATTAATTAAATTTGTTATTATTTGACAGTTTCATCCATGTATAATGTATTCTGGTTACTCTCATTCTCCGTCCTCTCTTACTCCTTCCACATTTGTCAACTTCCTTCATCCCTGCAAATCCCTTTCCCAGGAAAGGTTTTAACCAGGGTTATTTGTGTAACCATGAATTTGAAACACTCCTTTGG